ATCAAGGATGCCCTGAGTTTTCTGCATAAACGATTAAATTTTACACTTTTCCAGTACCCGAGCTTGAAAAAATATGCTTGAAACAAATTCGGCTGGTCTCTATTCCTTATTTTTGTAGTTTCTTAAATTTTTTAGAAATAAATTTCAAATACATTGTAATGCCCTTCTTTGGTAGTCAAGCAGCAAGCACGTTCGTTCAAATCACGTTACAGCAGAGTTGGTTTTTTCTCCTTCTTTCTCTGATTAATGCTGTTCTGTGATTACGGTAATCAAAGAGGTTTAATTGTTCTCACTCCTTAACATAACTGGTTTTGTACCTTCGAGTGTGCCGGTATTTTTCTTAATACATTCAAGCCAAGAATCCGAGATGTGAGAAACGGAAAATAGAGTGGAACAATTATCGCTTCGATGTTGGGAAATATCATAACCGAAGGGCTGGGCGCATCACTATAGAAAATTTCATGCGACTCTTCCAGCCGTGTATGGTTGCGGCAGAAACGAGCGTTCTGGCATTATTGATTTGACAATGGTGTGTTGGCTCGGGAAATAGTGAAGAAGTAAAATTAATGGTTGAGCGGCTTCACCCAAGCAAATTACACATCTACCACTCCCTGATGCAACTGCCGAGGCATGTAGCGCATCATTCACCAAACGCCTTCACAGCCGCGAGCCCCACAGGCAGGTTTTGGCCGAGTTTTACCTCCTGTGGTCGTATTTGTCGACTTTTCTGTCGGGCCCCACAATGCTGGAAACCATTTTTCGATGAGGAATTGCGAGCATATTTCAAAGTCTCGCCCGGAGCCCAGAGCTCGTTTGTCACGGCGAAGCAATTCGCCGGCGGTGTTTGTCCCGAGCCACTTCCGAACGCATGAACCCTGCGCGAGTCTGAATTCAGTACGGTGTTCGCGAGGCTTCCACGCCGTTGTAATTCAACACCCTTTTCTTCCCGTGGAAATGGTCTTTCTATTGTAACACGTGGTCAGCTCTCGATTCGTTCCTTCGCTGTATGTACGACCAGCGGCCGGACAGTCAGCATTGCTTGCGAAATTTCGTGAATTGGAATACTCCATCAACGAGCTTTTTCTTGGACAGTTCCTTTCAGCTAGTGTAGCTACATGTTTTCCTTCAAAAAATTCCGTCTTGCTGACATTTTTAATGAACTGTCTTACGTGGCTGCTGTCAAACTTCTGTCAGGTTTCCGCGTGATGAGAAGCTTTTGAGAGGGAGCTGTAGTACTGTACTGTACTATACTCGAGTACATATTTCCAAATGATTTGAGCGAGCGTAAGGTTCAGTTCTCCACGTCAAAAAGATTTCTTCAAAATTTCCAACGCTTTTGAAAACCAACGGTGTGAATTCAGGAGAACGGGTAGTCTTTTATGATTTCCTGTACGGTTCAACTGCCGCTAACTGCTTGAAATTCTAAATCTTTTGCATTGATTTTCTGATACCATACATATAGTATTCTTCAATCGTGTGTAAGATGAAACTAAAATTTGTTGAGGCATTCATTTTTATTCACCGCGTGAAGACCCGATATGCCAGGCATTTGATCATTCTATCCGCTTAACCCATGAACGGATTGAGACGTGATCATGGATTGATCTGAAGCCTGATACGTACAATACGTGGTTTTCGGCGCACATTTAATGTTAATGGTGGCAGTATTAATAACTGAATTCCTGTCTTCCGAACATAATTACCCACGTTTTTCGTTCAAATTAAATGTCGAAAATCCATCACGTGCGAGGACGAAGCGGGCATGATCATAAATTAGTTTTATGGGAAATTTTGGTCGGCTGCGCGACGGATTTTTCCGGAAGCGCCTGGCGAACGATACGGTCGAGCACTCATTTCTAAAGGTCGGGGGAAAAAGTGAGACACTTAATCGCTGCGAAAATTTTGTGGTAGACCATCTATTATTGTACCAATTTTCGAATACCATTCGAAGCTTTGCGCAATACAGTATTTCCCTGTAGTGCTTTTGTCGCGCTCCTCCGCTTTTATGGTTCGAGGGTACCCGTATTTACGCGATGTATCCCGCACCATTATTCTGAGTAAGTGATCTGCGCGGGAAAACGGCGTAGCCTATATTGATAAATGCGGCATTTCTCACTTACGGGCTCTCGAGATCGGCTTTTAAAAACATTGAAAGGGAGTGTTGACCCAGGTAAAGAACTCGTTGGAAAATTAGTAACGTCTCTCATGGATTCGATTGCATGTTTCAGCAGAAGGTCAGCTCGCATTGCTAGGATGAGGCCAGTGCGTAAGCCGTGATTATTGGTCGACCTCGTGAAGGAGTAACAGTGTAGTTTTCGAATTTTCCCATCCGCCCACCGCCGACGTTTGCGATTCAACGCGGCTTTGTCGAGATGGGAGTTTCCCGTATGGCTGTTTTCATTTCCCTGACCTGCTGGTCGGGAACGCGCGGTCGCCGCGTGTACTCGACTTTCAAAGCCGCCCGTCTTACGTGCTGAGATTCGAAGCATCGCTTTGGTATATTATTCATTATCCCCGCGAATTCTCGTGCACGCGTAGAATTGTTGCTTGATGATGGGCGGGCGAAAAACGTGAAACCAACGGCTTGGGTTTTCAGGGTCTCGGTGTGCGGGACGGGATAATGCACCCGCCCTTCAACGCGCTTGTTCCGGAGAGACGGGTCTTGTCTCGCGGAATCCTTGAATATCCTAATGCGTTCACCGGAACCATGGAACTTATTATTTCTGTAATGGTTGCGATCGTTACTTCGCCCTCTGCCGAGGATTATCTTCGCCATCCGGTAATGTTTCTGTGCTTCGGTCTACTTTATTCCGGGTATCTATCCTCCCGAGAAAAAGGTCTTTTAATTGCGCAAGGGATGTCGAAAATTGTAAGCGTAATGATTCCAATTAAGAAATCTCCATTAAGCGACACATAAATTCGAAATTTATAACTTTACTTTTTTTTGTCATGTGAACTTCCGGGAATGATTCGACTTCTGACGTTGGCCAATTCTACCGTTATAGTTTTTGTATGCATTTACTTTATTTTTGAGGTTGGGTTGCATATCCACTAAGCATGATGCAGGTCTCAGTTGCTGTTCTATACCGATATGGAACCTCACCTTATCCGGCCTTATGTTCCGATGCCTTTGCTCTTGTAATCAAATATCCCTGATGCATTGCCCAGAAATGATTTATTCAAAGATGATTCGATGCTACTACAGTACCAACATTGCCGATGATCTCGAAAAGCAACACGTAGTTCTAAGAATTTATCTTGAAGAAAGTGTGTCATCTGTAGTACTGTATAGTGCAGTAGCTTGCTTCTTACAAGATTATGATTCTATGTCTAGTTTTCTGTTCATCACGTTGATCTTGATTCAAGTGGTGAGAAACTAACTCTCGTTCTGAATGAAATGAAGTAGCTCAAATTTAAATTACTGCATTTACCCGAGTACCACACGGCCTTGTTTGAGACGTGCACCAAGTGTTGGGAACGCAAGGATTCCCATCGAAAGAGAGCATTGCAGGACAGTGGAAAAGAGAGATAAATAATCACACAGGACAATCAGCCGGGTTGCGGCCGGGAATATGTACTTACCTGTCTACCTAATTCTTATTCATTTGAAATACATTTGCTCTTATGTCCTTCGGGATTTCCACTGTGAATCCCCTGCCCTGATCCTGGGCGGATTGTGAGTTCTCATTAATTTACCTGATCAATCTTCTTTCTTTGTGGGGCTTTGCCCAAAACCAAGGTTTTTGAAACAACAATTTTTTTAGAAAAAATTATCCTTCGATTTTTTTTTCATTCGATTATTACGTACGCCAACCCTTCTAAAATTGAAAAATGGGAAAAACAGCCCGCGGTACTCGCGTAAATGCGGTATATGAAATTGTACAGTGTCGTCCACCTTGTTTCCTCTTGTCGACTTGAAATTTTACATGATTAATTGAACTCCGTTTAATCAAGGTCCTATTGTATTCGTGACGTTCCTGAAAATCTCGGAAGAGGAACTTATTCTTCTTGCGCCCTAAAATAAACAAAAATACTGTACCACTAATTTTTCATATCTGTGGAGTTATTATGAGTCCACCTGATAACGAATGCTGCGAAGATCCCATCGGGTCCAAAATGTATTGGATTGATTATGGGTGCAAGCGATCCGATGCAGACAGTGAAAAATTAACGGCTCATTTGAACTGGACGAAACTTTTTTTTTCTCGGTTACCAATTTTCTCAAAGAAACTGACTCAGTGAGCATTAATGTGATAACATAACGGACTGCACCAACCATTTATTGTAGAAGCATTCATTTTTTAGCTGAGAATGTGAAGTTCGATTCTGCGATCGTCCGAAAAGTAAATCTGGTATCGAACTGATTGTGGAAGGAAATATTTATTACAGTATTTCCCCCGTCGTGTATCGATATACGTTGCCCGCATATGCCTTGATCCTACCCATGGATTGCAGACGATGCATTCAGGACACCGTGGGTTTGAACGAAAGTTTGGATCCTGTTTCGAAAACTCTTCGTCAGCCAATTCTGCTTGTCCTCCACTTCATGAATCAATCGCTGAAAGTATTTTCTGTGTGGAGTGCAAAAAAGGGGGTCTGAGTGGCAAAGAATAAATCGATGATGGTCTGTCTTTTCCTGTTCTGTTCTTGACGTACAGGCAAAATGGTCTTTATGAGAGGAGAATCCTTCTTTCGTTCGTCTGTTATACGTCATTCCGTCTGCTGAAATAAAGGCGATTGTCTCGGAATTGCCTTTGTCCGATCGGAGGAAAATCGTTGAGACTTATTGAATCCGCGCTGGTGTATTTCCGCGTCGAAATTGGGGAATGGAATACGTCGTATCTTCATCTTTCCATCTGGAACCCTGCATTTCCCATTATCAAAACTTGTATAAAAATACGCGGGTGGAGGAATTTTTTCCTCCTCGCTCGCGAGTGGAAGCAGGGAAAGGCCTGCGGGAAAAGTTTCTGACCGGAGCTCTGCGGAATGTTCGTTCCCAGGTGGCGAGGAGGAAAGCCTCGGACATTCGGACGAGTCTGAGAGCGAGGCTGGATGGATCGAAGGGCTCGCCATTTTCATATCCGTTATCGTGGTCGTCATCGTCACTGCGTTCAACGATTATACGAAAGAGCGCCAGTTCCGAGGCCTTCAATCCAAAATCGAAGGCGAGCACAAATTCGCCGTTATCCGAAATGGAGAAGTCGAGCAAATCAAAGTCGGAGATCTCGTCGTTGGCGACATTTGCCAGGTGAGACGCTGCTCGTGGCCGGTTTTATCTTCCGGTCTTACCTGCAGCCACCACGTGGCTTTTCTTGATGATTCCGAGTGATACTTCCCCGTTTCATCCCTTGCCTCTGATTAAATATCCGGTTGGAATTCTTTCTTGATCCTTCAGATCAAATACGGAGATCTGCTGCCTGCAGATGGGATATGTATTCAAAGTAATGATTTGAAAGTGGACGAGTCGTCATTGACCGGCGAGTCCGACCATGTCAAGAAGGGCGAACACTCGGATCCAATGTTGCTTTCAGGTATACATTATTCAGAAATCCTCATCTTGAGCTTGGTGCTTGCAATTTCGTAATAAAAGAAAAAAAATATTCCGAATCTTTCGAGACTTTTCTCGGGCTGAATATCTGATTACGTGATGAAAACCAAAGGAAAGGAAACCAATTTAGAAACTTCTTGGTCGTCACCTGATTAAATCAAATCTGATGAATCTCGCAAAGGAGGAAGGTTTCATAAAATGAAAACCTGCGTCCTGTATTAAATTTTCTATAGCTGAACTTATAATGAAATTTCATGTAATTTACAGATTATAATGTCGAAGCCTTGAATTACTGTATTTTGAATTGAGGATCAGTCCTGTGTGGAATACTGCGTCATTAGCGACCGATTTCGAAAATCGATTGATCCGAAAAAAATCCATATAAATTCAGAAAAACATTGGTTTTCGATAAATAAGTTCGAATTGCGTCATTTACTGACAATGAAAAGACTGTAGTTGTTTTTTTTCGTTACAACTCCGTTGAATTACCTGCAGAGAACCGATTTCTTCATTTATTGCTATTCCGTACTTTCTTATGTGAACGTGATTACTCCGGGTTTATTGCCGTTGGCCACCAACTAACAGATTAATATCAGGCGGTCTATATGCCTTCGTGTATGTCGATGATGGAGCTTAATTCGATTCGATGCCCGTGCTTAATTTGGATCCTATATCACGCGTATTTTCCTGGAATCGCGTTTGGATGTAGAATGAAAAGGCTGCTCACATCAAAGGCTTTGGATAAACGAATGAATACCTGGGCTAGGAACGAGAGCGCGTTAATTTTTGCATCTCGCAAACGTTTCGAGGCCGGTTTCTGCAGGCACACATGTGATGGAAGGCAGCGGGAAGATGTTGGTTTCAGCCGTAGGCGTGAATTCTCAGGCTGGGATCATCTTCACGCTTCTGGGCGCTGCGGTGGACGAACATGAAAAGCAGGCGAAAGCTAAGGCCAAGAATAAGAAAGCCGGGCGCGAGTCCGACGGTGACGTGGAGCAGGGCCTGACCGGCAACAGCCACGCTGGTGGCAGTGCTGCTGCTGCTGTCCCAGTCCCTGCGACCGTCGTTGCAACAGATGACCCGACAGCGCCCACTGAGCCTAGCGCCGAGGTCAGCACCAAGAAGGAGAAATCCGTTTTGCAGGCTAAGCTCACAAAACTCGCCATTCAAATCGGATACGCCGGTGAGTTCTCTTAGATCCTTATAATAATGAAGTACTTATCCACGAGTGAAAGACTTCAAAACCGAGGGTTGTTTCACAAGTTTCGTCAGTCTATTCGCTTCTAATTCCCTGTTCGGGTGGATGCAAATGTGCTCAATCTTAGCAGGGTAATATGCTTCTTCCCTCTTATATTCCCGGTTATTCTGGTCAAAATTTTGCCAACTCTGGTTGAAATTAAGAGAGGCCGGTGTCGAAAAAAAAAACAGCCCATTGCCGCAGAAGCATTTTTCTGCTGAATTTGCGGGCAGTTGGAATGTTACCGCATCTTTTCTTTGAAAATTTGGTGATCATCTGCATTGACAAATTATTTCTGCTGAAGGCGTAGTTAGTCCTAAAATTTTTATTGGTGAACAAAAAGTTGAACGGAGCAGGGTTGCACTTTAAAATAATCTCGAACAAATGAACGGCTTGTATTTCAGGCTTAGTTCATGATTACAAGAGTGATATGAATGATATAATTGCTGACATTTTCGTACAGTTTTTGAATTTAAAGGTAATGTGCTGATGAAACTTTCTAACCCTCCCTCGTGCGAAGGCTAACAGATTCGACTTCAGCAAGCAGTACTCACTTCGAGTTTGTGGGATAAGGTTGAAAAGTTTAAATCATTCTTGTTGTAATGCTGAAAAGTACACCGTTTCCAGAAGCCGACCCAAATTTTGACTCCCTTTGGCTTCTCTAGTGCTTGTCGAATATCGAACACGTGATACTCGAGCGTTGTGTCTTTTTCCGCCGCGAATTCGTGGAATCTTTCAGCTGGAAGTCCTAAAATTTTTACTTCGTGGACTTCGAGCGACATCTGTTAACCACGTTTAATTTCCCCAGTAGGCGTGCGTTTGACTGGGTGTCGATTTCCGTCAAAAGTAGCCCTTTCTCGAGTGAAACTCAACCTATGGTGTGCATTCATTACTGTTCATGAAAAGCTTCCTGTCGATTCATCGTGGATGACGTTTTTAAAGCCATTCTAATCTCCGACCTAGAAGTAACGCATTACTTGAGCGGGAAGATTGCCGCATAATTGTCTAATACGGTACAAAAATCAGGTGTCGCAGCAAATGGTAAAGCCATTATTTGTTTAAATTTACGCTTATTGATACCGGTTTACGCATTTAATGGGAAGATTGTCTTGCAGTGAGTGAAGAGCACGATTTTAAACTTTTCTTGGAATCCCATCTTCTTGAACATGAGAAGGAATAACCATCATAAGGCGGTTGATTCATACATTTTGTCAATAACTCGAAAATAATTCAACGAGGCTTTTTGGATTCGGAAATAATTTATCTTCACGTCCCCTCATCAGTCAACTCCACTTAATCACGATTCTAGATCCCCTCATCCGGCCTCGAATAGAGATTTGAATTCATAGATGCGCCAATTGCAACAGTCCCACGAGGTCAGGTGTGGTCAGAAGTTATATCGGATTCCCAAAATTTATGATCAAAATTTGTATGCAACTGTGGGTTCAATTCCAATGCTTGAAGCCACGCTTCTCTTCTTTCGCTGAAGATTCTTTTGAATTTCAGCTCTGACTTGAGCAACTCCTGGTTCACCAACTGACATTTGAGCGCAGCATCAAGTGCCGCGACAATTTTGAAGGAACATATTTTCCCCATGCGATTGTTCGTAACTCTTAAAAATATCGGACATTTGCTTGAAATATTTGGCAGCACTTGAACGTCTTTCGAATTAATTGGAACATGGCAAAGTGTTCAGGTAATTCTTAGCTCCACGAATGGATGGACTGCAGTTTACATTTTTACCTCCTCTCCATTTCTATCCGAGTGGGCAAAAATTGAACAAAGATCAGGAAATTATTGAAAATTATATAAAAATGTACAGTATTGTGTGCTAATCTTTAAAAAAGTATTATAACTTTTAGCGTTCCCGATAATTGAAAATTCAATAATTAAAAATAAAAATGATTGAACCAACCTTCATCCGAGCGGTAGTGCTCGAGTCGATGCAATCGATCTGGGTGTACGCGTATAGCACTCCGCTAAGAAACTTGCTGCACCTTAATTTGCCCTGCCTGAACTTACCGCTGTCATTACTCGCTGCAGCTTCAACTTGACGCTGAAAAAGAACATACCATGCATGAAAAGGGTTCACTTCGATCTTATAACATAATTAATTTTGAACAGCACAATTTGCTCACAAAGCACACATTATAAAAAAAATCGCACATCGGACAACCCAGATTAAAGAATACTCTCCTGCAATCGAATAGATTCCTGAAGGTGGATCCTTGAAAACCGGAAACATAAAAATACAATTTCGCGTAACGAAGTTTTTGAGGAGCAAAAAAGTTGCGCTTGAATAAATTGTTCCGCACATCACAAAAGTTTCTCCTTATACTGAAAATAAAATCATGAGAGCGTTTAAAATGTCCTCTTTACACACAGCTGCAATGAAATACCATATTCAACTGCATTTCCAGATGCTTTAAATTATTAAAGGAGAAGAGCGGCTTTAAAGGGATAATGAATGTTTGGATATGTGCGCTGTGAGTTATGAGAAAGAGAAGAAGCCTGGTTTGCATTGTAATCATTGCATCACCACACTCAGCATTGAGGAGAACAGTTAACCTGGTGGCATACAGTCGCATGAATTACATGCTGGCTATTCAAGAATGGGAGGATTGATCTGAAAAATTGAAGATTCATCGGGGCATTTTAATTTCAAATAAAACAAAACTTTCCAAGAGCTTGCTGGTCCTTATCTTTTGTAAGTTCATGGGTTTTGGAAATGCTGGAAATACTATTCCTGTCTGCTTCACAATACATTTTGTGTAAAGAACTGATCTGTGTAGAAAGGCATCAATCCCAAAGAAAATATCCTAGATGAGCCGAAATTTTGGTCCGTCTTTTAAAAATACAGGATTGTATAATGCTATGCATTTCTCTGAAAATACCAAACCTTAAAAAAAGAATAATAATGCTTTCTTTCTCACGTTTCACTTGATCCCATTAAATTTAATTTGAAAGGATGAATTTATCGAATAAGGCTGAATTGTGTTCCGTTTTTCGGCGCTTAAAAAGGCGACACCTGCCTTATGGGATTGATTTGATCTATGATTCAGAATCACCACTCTTTCAAGAATTGAAATTTTCGCCACTTCCATGTGTTGTAAAAAAACAGGAGAAGTCAATTCCGACGAATAAGACGGATTTGTAGGGATTGCATTTCATATTTTATGCTTTTTTCAATCCAAAGCAAAGTACAGTGCACATGTTTATATTGAAACAAGAATGACATTTTGTTTCCTCAACGGAAAAAATAATAACATCATGTGGTTTCAAATTCAGTTCACTCTAAGGATGCAACTTCTTTTGACTTTTCTCTGTTCCGTGAAGTAAAAGATTGCCGGATCGTTGAAAGAGTGGCGATTCCGAATGAAAAATCACATGATTAGTAGAAAATTTTTTAAATACTGGGGAGGAAAGACTTGAAAAACATCCTCTTCAGGAATTTATCGTCCTTCGAGTTTTTTATAAAGTATTTAAAAAAAATCCAATATGAACTTCATTGGAACGTTGGCAAGAAAGCAGCCGTGTACGGTTTCCTCAACAACAACAAAATTACTCGAAATGGCGGATTAAAAACGCAGTATCTGTGTTGTGTCCTGAAAATGATCGTTGCGATGGTTTACTTCTCTAAATTTTCATGTATAGTATTCAAATTAAATTATACTGACGCTTAGAAAATGGTGCTATCTGTATTCCCGAAAACTTGTTTTTCTATAATTTTTTTATCGGCAGACCCGCTGCAAAAACTCTGAATATTACCCGTGGTATACGATTTACTTTTCTGGAATTGCGAGGCCTTTTAATACCATATATCCACTTGTATCTGATCATTTGCTGCCGTCTGCTGCATTAGTGCCACCACGAGAGTTTCCGAAAAATCTGTTATTCTCCTAGCTTCTAATGCTTTTACCGAGATGTGCCGTAGATGTGGATTTAATGCTGCCGTATGCTGCAAGCAGCATGCATCAGATGAATTTCTTTCGCTGGGGAAACGCCGAAGTGCACTTCCTTTTTTCATTTTTATTTACTTTTTTGCCTTGATTTGGCAAAGTGATCTTTGCCGAAGCGTGACAAATGCATGGTTTTTAGCTTTTAGCCGTTTCAAAAATACATTTTAGGTATCGAAAGGAATGGTACTGGCGGATGCGGGTTGAGTAGTGCCGGAAGATATTTACATGTTGTTTCAGCTTACCTAGCGGCAGAGTTGTTGTTCGGGCAACTCGGAGCACTAATGTACATCCGTCTCATGTCTCCGTTTTCTCTCTTGTTTTTTTTCTGTCTCTTTAGGTTCCCTGATCGCCGTTATGACCGTAATCATCTTGATAGTGAGGTTTTGTATCACGACGTTCGTCGTCGAGAAAAAGGCTTGGAGCGGATTCTATGCGAATTATTTTGTCAAGTTTCTCATTATCGGCGTGACCGTTCTGGTCGTCGCTGTCCCGGAAGGGCTTCCGTTGGCTGTTACTCTTTCGCTTGCTTACTCAGTAAAGGTAAGCGTCGTGGTTCTGTAGTTTTGACGTTGAATATTTTATCCCCAATTTTCTGCGAGAAACCGGCTGCGTCCCTCGGAGCACATTCTTGCCTTGCTCCCACATTCACCGCAAATCCGCTCAGAGAATAGCGGGAAGAATTAACATTAATTCAGATCGTTTGGTACGAAAACCCTATGTTCGATAGTCCGTGGTACGTTTAAAAATAACACTAATACAAGGTGCAATTTTAATCTTCATGAGTCAGTATTAAAACGGATTTGAAGAGAAATGCCGAGTGCAGCTCTTGAAAGTTTTTCAGAATTATCCACAATCCTTTTTTCCTGTTGAATTGAAACCCGTTGAGTGGGTCATAGATCCAGAAAGAGATTTTGAGCATGACTTTTATTTTTACGAATTCTGAAGTTATTATCGTGTTTCCATGAAGCTGCGACAGAATCATGAAACGAGCCAAAACGCTTTTTTTCAGCCCCATTTCGAATAGCAGTCCACCAAAAAAAGCTTTGATCGCTTGAATGATGTAAGATTTATTTTACAATTGTCCTCCCCTTGGATTTAGCATAGCTGTCGAATTAAATTCCTGCATATCTCGTACTCCTTTAATTTGTGTACCACTTTACTGCTGAAAATTCCGCGAAACCAGTACTGTATTGCCTTCCCCCAAAACGTACATTCAAATTCCCGCATTCGAAGATTTTATCCAAGTCGCTGTAAATAATGGAGACCGAAAACCGTAATAAGCATCAACAAATTTTTAGAAAGAAATTCTGATGTCGGGACTGTCGCATTTTCGGGGAAACACGTCAGAAAGCATCCTAGATTTACGTATCTTTTTACCGAACTTTTTGACTTAGCGTATTGAGAATCAAGGATGAATTTTCCTCGTACGCGGTGTGTCTTGCTGAGAACGAAGATGTCTGTTTCATTGATGTACGACGGGTTGTAATTGTGTGACGGTATGTTAGAAAATGATGAAAGACAACAATCTGGTTCGTCACTTGGACGCGTGCGAGACAATGGGCAACGCAACAGCCATCTGCTCCGACAAGACCGGAACGCTGACGACGAACCGGATGACGGCTGTGCAGGCCTATGTAGAGGGTGAGCTCTACAAAGTCATCCGGCGCGATGACTCGAATGTGATATCCAAAACGACGAGAGAAACTTTGTTCCAAAGCATAGCGCTCAACAGTGCGTTCACGAGCCGCGTTATTGTGAGTCGAGGAAATCAATTCTTGTGCGGATTGAGATTCAGGGGCTCTGATCAATGCTTTCTGCAGCCACCAGCAACACAGCAAGAGGGAGAGCTTCCGAAGCAGGTGGGAAACAAGACTGAATGTGCGTTGTTAGGATATGTTCAGGATCTCGGAGGGAGCTACGAGAAAATACGCGAGGAGAACCCTGAGGAGACATTGCACAAGGTGTACACCTTCAATTCCGAAAGGAAATCGATGTCCACCGTCATCCGTTTGCCTCAGGGAGGCTTCCGTGTGTACACCAAAGGCGCTTCCGAAATCGTGATGAAGAAGTGAGCTGAGTATTTGCATGGCCTTGTTCGTTTTATTCCCTGGTTCAAAGTTAATATTGACACAAAATATCTAGTTGCGTAACAATCGGGCCTGAATTCCCCGGTTTCCCAAAACCTCGGAAGCTTCCTGTCCAGAATTTTCAGTTGACTTTATTTTATTTTATTTTCTCTATCCTTAATGGTATTTGTCACGTTGCTACCGAAAGCAAAAAATATTGATTCGACTGCTGACTTTTTTTTCGGGAATCACGCGACTGCTGCCTTCCTTCTTGGGCGTCAGTTTGATGAGTTTTTGCTGTTACAGTATCTGGTAAAAAAAAAAAAGCTGCAGCGTTTCTCTCAAATTTTGACCAATCCATAAAATAAGGTCAGCAAGATTTTTAGACACCTCTAGCTATCCTAAAACTTGAAACAGAAAAACTCCAAGGTAAAAAATAAGTAAAAATATTAGAATTAAGTGAGTGAAAATATAATAAGTAAAATATTTTTCAAAATTGAGCCATAAAAACTTCAGCTTCTCAGTGTAGTCTTTCTCGTCTCAGTAATTCTGGAATTTGGAATTCAGGCAAGGTTCTTATTGCTCAACTCTTCAAATATACCCTGTTGATGAGAAAGTATTTTTGGAGACGGATTGCTTGAAAGATTTTGTAATTGTTGCAGAACAAAGGTAACTATCCGACGAGAATATCCGTGTTTAGAACATCCAATAATTTTGTTCCTCAAATAGTACCTTAAAGTTGAAACGCGTCGTCCCACAGACTTCTATGGGATGTATCTGATCACGAGTATAAGACGGTTTTATGACTATATTGCCAGATGAGCTTTGTCTAGATCGAATTTTGTGTCCGTGCATTCCATCTGTAAAACCCTCTAATAATTTGGAGACCTTGAGTTTTATAGTAAACTAATGATATCCCTGCACTTCCAGGTGCTCATTCATCATGGGGGCGAAGGGGGAATTGAAGAAAATGACCAAGGATATGCAAGACCGGATTGTTCGTGAAGTTATCGAGCCCATGGCGTGCGACGGCTTGCGTACTTTGTCCGTTGCATACCGGGATTTCGTGCCGCACAAAGCTGAAATTAATCAAGTTCATTACGAAACTGAGCCGAATTGGGAGGATGAAACAAATATCATTTGTAACCTGACTTGTGTCGCCATTTTCGGCATCGAAGATCCTGTTCGACCTGAGGCAAGGCCTTTGTGAACTACAATATTTGGAAGTGTATAGAGCTCCTTTCTGTAATATATGTGTTGATGCAATCAACATATGAGTACTGTGTGTGCCAAGCTTACTGCGTGCAGTTGCTAAAGATTTTTTTTTTCATGCAGCTTGGATTACTGTACAGTTGTTTTCTCTTCTTTGCGCTCCTTTTGAACAGCAATTCCAAGATTTTTCTCAAACTCTTGTATCTTTCCAAAATATTTTAAAACTTTCATAGTGTAAGATTTTTTCTTCGTGTATCTAGCACTTCATTGAATTTATTGCTCCGGCAGTTGGCACACATAAAATTTTTTATTTTTGTTGTGAAAGGTGAAAGAGCTATTTTACATCTTACGAAGGAACACAACTTCTTGCATTGAAAGACATTTTATTCCTCTGTTTTTAAATGTGGCATATTTGTGGCTGTTGAGCGTTTGTTCCAGAGCGGACGTTGAAGTTGTGCCAAAATGTCCCTACTGTCTTCGTCATATGTGTTGACTGCCGTAAAGCGAAGTCTCTCCTTGAATTGTTTTTAAGGTTCCCGACTCAATCAAAAAGTGCCAAAAAGCAGGTATCACTGTCCGCATGGTAACTGGAGACAATATCAACACTGCTCGATCAATCGCAACTAAATGTGGGATCATCAAGCCTGGCGACGATTCGCTGATTCTTGAAGGCAAGGAATTCAACCGGCGTGTCCGCGATGCCAGCGGTCAAATCCAACAGCACTTGATCGACAAAGTCTGGCCCAAGTTGCGGGTGCTCGCCAGGTCCTCGCCGACTGACAAATACACCCTCGTCAAAGGAATCATCGACTCGAAAGTCAACGAAAACCGCGAGGTCGTGGCTGTCACCGGCGATGGTACAAATGATGGCCCTGCGCTGAAAAAAGCTGATGTCGGTTTTGCCATGGTCAGTTTCTCCCGAAGATTTTGAATTTTTCGTGTGGGTTTTTATTGCTCTTTTTTACATTTATTTAGGGGATCACCGGAACCGACGTGGCGAAAGAAGCATCAGATATTATCTTGACCGACGACAACTTCTCTAGCATCGTGAAGGCCGTCATGTGGGGTCGGAACGTGTACGACAGCATCGCGAAGTTTCTGCAATTCCAACTGACCGTCAACGTCGTCGCTGTCATCGTTGCATTCGTCGGAGCGTGTGCCATCGAGGACAGTCCCCTCAAGGCAAGTGTCGTTTTACATTTGCTTCTAAACTGATATGAAAAATGACGAAAGGATCTCTCGTCAGGCGGTTCAAATGCTTTGGGTGAACCTGATCATGGATACGCTGGCATCGCTTGCTCTGGCAACGGAGATGCCTACACCAGAACTGCTCTTAAGGAAGCCGTACGGGCGAACAAAGGCTCTCATTTCACGTACAATGACGAAAAACATAATGGGACAGAGCATTTACATGCTGTTTGTCATCTTCTTTCTCTTATTCTATGGTAAAAGTGATTTATCAGAGAAGGCGTGGCAAGTTTGCGATTTTGAAGTTTATTAATCAAACAGGGTCCCAATTTTTCGACATCGACTCCGGAATGTGGGCAAGCATTCAAGACCCACCGTCACAGCACTTCACTATTATCTTCAATGCTTTTGTTCTGATGACTCTTTTCAATGAGATTAACGCGAGGAAAATCCATGGACAGAGGAACGTTTTCTCGGGAATTTTCTCGAATCCCATCTTCTACTCGATCTGGATCTCCACCTTTGTGTTCCAAGTGAGCAGCAGTGATTGTCGATTGAAGCGTCTCTTGACTTCGTCAAAGAGTTATTTTAAGAGCCTTTCTTCTCTGGAACATGAATGACGCTGCATGAGAAAACCCCTCCTCCTTTTCAGATTGTCATCGTTCAGTTCGGTGGAAGGGCTTTTTCAACAGCACCTCTTCAATTGGTTCACTGGCTCTGGTGTTTGTTCTTTGGATTCGGAACGCTGCTGTGGGGTCAGCTTGTCACAACAGTGCCTACCAAGAATATCCCTAAAAGACTCAGGTAAATTGCACCAGGAGTGTCCAGTACCATTACTATACGGCTACATTTTTCTCTCGAAAATTGCTCCTCTAAACTAGACTCCTTCTTGATTCTTGAAAGATCACTTTTAAACTTTGAATCATATGTGAACCTTCTAAGTGAATTCTTTCAACTAAAAAATGGTTAAATGTTCGATCTTTTTTCTTGAGTTTTTCATCTGCCCCTTGTTTTAATCATGCCTTGATTGACTTCAAAATAATTCCATAAATCCTTACTTCATTGTGTTTTCTTGTCAGAAAAGTACTGAAGTAAGCAGATAGTAGTCCAAGTACATGAAAAGCTTGCAACGGTAGTTTTCATAGTTATGCGTATTCAAAGTAATCTGACTCCAATGTGTAAAAATATTTTTGTGGGCGATACCCTTTCTTCCTTATCACAATTGCCTCGGGTTTAGGCATATAATCGCTTGAATGTGTAGTACTGAGTTTGATTTTAAATATGAAAAATTTGTCGGTTTTTGTAAAGCTACGGACGTGGACAGCCGGAAGAATTAGCAATCATATCAGAAACACTGATGGAAGATGGACATTCGAAAGACTCAGATGCAGCTGACAAGAGACGCTCCACCGGACAAATCCTTTGGATCCGAGGCTTAACTCGCTTGCAAACTCAGGTGAGACCGAAACTTATCATTTTTGAGATTTTCGCTACCGAAACAGATATTATTTATCCTCTGGTTTCATCATATGTTGCAGCCATGATTCGTATATTCTATGCTCTTGCGGAATTTATCGTCAATGGCATTAGCTTCAAAGTGTCTCGCTTTGAATTTGCTGATAGCTTCGTTGAATTGGGTATATTTTTATTGCTAACATTTGTTTCTAATCGTAATACGCTTTTGTGAATGTATTGCAATTTGCGATTGTCAGATTCCGAATCGATCTACGATATACAGTATACTGGAAAGAACGTGGCGCAGTCTTTATACTGCTCTTTTTTCGCGATTATATGTCAGCCCCTCCTTCGTCTTTATTTATCAAGTCCTTGTCATTTGGTGTTATTTGTTTTTCGAATTTTAGTTCAAGGGTTTATTAGTACCCTCCCGGCGAGAATCTTTTGTTCAAATCTGATTTCCGCATCGTCTTATTGATGTTTCTATGTCTGTTCACCCATCCAAATTCTCCGTGGCGCACATTCCTGGATTATGAAACCTGTCTAGTATTTTACCCCGGATTAACTTTTTCACGATTTGTGAATGCGTCACCAAGTCTGTAATGATACGGCGTGGACATACAGCTGATCTGCGTTGGACAGCTTGGGAAATCCCCCATTGCACTCCCTTGACCCGTCACCATTTATTGACTCCATGCAGTACAGTACTTAAACTTGGAAGACCTGGCAAACTTATTTTTCTTGATTTGGCTTGATGCCTATATACCAGCACTGCTGCAGAATTTCCGGCGCATTATCCCCCGAGATGAAAGAGAATGTGTTGGAATGCAGTCTGATTTCCCGCCGTGCATGCCTTCAATTCCACCTTTTCCAGTAAAATATTGCATGGTATGACGACTGGTTTTCATATTTCCTCCGCCTTCTATTAGTTTTTATCGCGAGTTCTTTTTCGTTTCATCCTTCGTTCTTGGTTGACGCATTGAATCAGCAGACGATCATGTCTTCCATGTACTGTATTTGAAAAGATAAATTATTAATATTCTGTGTCGATAATTTTACATATTTTAGGCTGCATTTTCTGCGAAGAAAATCATGTAAAGTTTCATTTTTACCGATGAAAATGTCTCGAAATCTATTTAAAAAAGCTTGAAGATCCATTTTCGGGCGCTCAAGTGGAGAGTTCGCGAGGAAAGCACATATTGTCAGACCTTCAATAATGACCGGTTGTTGTTTACGACGCTTCAAGATCCAGAAGTACAGTATTTTAGATGGCAGGATACTTTATGTAAGCTGCACTTCAGCGAAATGCGTGGTAATTTACTGGATTGCAGTGCATTGCATTTTGAGCGGCTTGCTTCAACATGGTTTCAAGTAGGGTTTTCTCATTCTTGTGCTTGACTAGAGCATACACTCGTGCGGGGGTGACAAACGCAAATTGCCGCAGTGAATATTCTGATTGCCGCACTCTGCACATTTTTTTTTTTATACGAATATCTAACATGCTGTCTGGAAACTTACCTCTTTTCCGCCGGCAAAGATAGTAATAATTTGACTCACGAGTATTGCGGCTGTGGCATTTAGAGGCATGAGGTTATATATACAGTACATTGCGTTTGTGTGTTGTTGTGATGACAAGCATTCGGGAAACCGTAGGATGCGTGTACGAATTATTGTAGATGTGTGAACTTGTGACCTGATTTCCAGCTGCGAGTCATCAGGGCTTTCAAGTCCACCCTAGAGGATTTAGAGGAACGCCGCTCGGTGCACAGTTTGCACAATGCGGGGACTAGGAGCCAACTCGGTATCACGGCAGTGACAGCTGGACTCTCATGTCACTTATTGCCGCCACATTGTCCGGTAGGCTTGGCTCACCCCATGAGTTGACATCAAAGTACTGCAAAAAAAAATTATCGTTTCCATATCTCTATGTTCAATTGTGTCTGCTTGGCGCACTCAAATTTCGACGTGTTTTCAAGTCGTTCAACAGCATAATTCAAACTTGACTTGCTGCATGTTTCATATACTGTATCAACTTTAACGGATGGCCGAGATTCGGTCGATAAGCTGGACCGCTTCCCACTGGAGTTTTCTGCTCCCGGTCGTGAACGAGGTTTGAATTCATGGGGTGGGTTGCGAAAATTTTGCATGATCCCGGCTCTGCATGAGTATGGATGACTTTTCGGTGGATAATGCGGATTCCTCGAATATATCCGCAATTTCTTTCATCTTTGGGAATAAGCGAAGAATGTTCTGGCAGCGACAGACTATACTGCGTGATGTGCAACCTGTGAAAAGTGCTGATAACTTCGTAACATCTGCAGAGAAAAAGCTACGAAATGAACCGAGCCGGGAAGTCAAGTCCACTGTTCCACCAAGGTCGGGCTATATACATCCGTACTGTTTCTGGTTCAGATCTTGTGTCGTCTGTCCCGTCTCTGCCGGGGAGATTCGCGGCTGAGGCGCAGAGAGAATGTTGAGGTTGAAAATGAAGTTCGTATTCGCTTCTAGCGAGATGAAAATACCGCGGTGGAGTAGCTTTTTGGGTCCTGCTAAATCTGAAAAATTTAAACAGCGAAATTCCTATGGAAAACCTGGTGTGGAATATCCGTATTCACTCGAGTACCTTGCGTCTCCGTGCACGACATGCAAACGTAATTTTTGCCCAAAAATTTTGTTAACGTTCTACTGTACCCCATCGAAATATTCATTTGAATAAGACGCGTAGCACCCGTTTTCTTTCCAATTTTTTTTTTACATTTTTTTTAGTAAAGGTGCCTTGGTGCTCGAGTAAATGCGTAAGGAAATGGTTGTTCCATTTCACCGTGATGCACACATCAGCTGCCAGCACAACCCGACTTGACTCGTCGTTGGCCTGTAGTCTTCGAAAATTTCCAGATTTTTTGCTAAATTTTAGTCGCTTTATTCATACAGGGTGGAGCAAAAAGGCCATGTTCTCTTTTGACTGCTTTCCAACTCTCTCATGCACAAATTCTGACTGATTTGTTTCTCTCCGAATCTTCAGGCTATGTTTTTTTAGAGATTCGGATTGACGTTAGAAGGGATTTTAAGCGGTTCGGTGCCTCGCACAGAATTGCAAAGTAAATAATTTTGAAACCGAAGCATCGGGGAAATCGGAATAATAAAGCGCTCACGTAGCGAATTTCTTGTTTTTTTTTTCACCCTGCGAAGATGAAGCTACCTCAATTTAAAAAAAAAAGCAGACGCTGTTAAAATCGGATAGTGCTGGCATATGATGTGCATGTGATCCTACGTGGAAATGGTTTAATAACCTCTGATTAAGGTGAGTGTCCCTTGTTCACGGTGTTGCGTGACGTTCTCCAAAACCCTGCGTTGAAGCTCATTCATTTAGCTTCGACTAAAAAAAAACATGTTTATTGATACATTGTGCATCTTTCGTTTGATGCGCTTCGGATCCATTCTTCGAGGATGGCCTAATCTTTTTTTACTTCTTCGGGCGCTGTTAGCAGAGCTTGCGTTAATTTGATGCGTTTTTGTTTCTGCTCGCACTACTACCTGGAATTCTCCCTCATGAAGGTTATCGGGGGTGAATTGCAAGAACGCCTTATTCCTGTTCCGTACAGCAAGAGTTCTACTGATCAAGCTGTAAGCGATGGTTCTGTCGTCAGCTCTCTTAGCTTCTGCTTATCCTAACGTGTGGTGTCTGTGATCTCGCTTGTCTGTCCAGCCTACTTACATCATAGTTACGAGTAACCATCCCTTGTTTATCTAGCGTTCCGTCGTTGGTTGTCTCTTACGATGCAGCTGACCGATTTGGTTTTTATCAGCCGTCTAATATATGGGGAGAGGTCGGGGCCTTCACTTCTTATTGGTATGAATAAATTTTTTTCCCACGCTAAGTCTGTGTGTGAAATGAGGAATTTTTCCCTAAAGAATTGTAATTATTTTTCAGCGCATTTTTACAGGTGGGCTCTCTTCAACGAGTACCTGTTCAGTGATATGCTCCATGAAATGAATTACAGTAGTTTTCCGTTCCCAGCAGACCTACGATTATTTTATGAGAAGCTCCCCTAAGACGGAAGTCTCATGACAACCCCCACCATGCTAACCATGTGCACAGATGTGTCCTTCTGAAGAGAAGTACTGTACTGCAAATTCAAAACACAAAATTTCAAAACGTTGATAACAAATTTACCTACAGCTAGTTCGCTTCAATGATCCGCGGGGTTGCATTTTAAACTAAGATTAAAATTGGGTGCAGAATTATGGAAGATTTTTACGCTGGATCGATGATTAATATTCCGAGAACATCGGATATATTTTGTCGATACTTTCAGAGACGGTAATTGTACTTCTGTCGCGCGCTGTTCGGCTGTCGCTGTCAGGGTGCTGGTGCAGTCTCGACGTGGTGTTATGGGAATACTGTTGGCAACATTTGAGTTTCGTGGTTTGGGTTATTTTATTTTTTGCATGGAGGATGTGCATGCGGATATACAAATACACAATGAGCTGCCTGCTGATAAAAATCGAGTTTGTGTGTGAAGCGCTCCAAGTTTAGCGCATATATAGACCAGGCACGAAGATTGCATGAATAGTATTTAGTCTGCGTATATATACGGATAGTGGAACAGAGGAAGAATGTTTTTGCTGATGAAGGATTGCCTGACCAAGATCCGTGTTTAGATCCATCAGTTACGTTTCGTACAATAATGCTTGGATAGAGTTATACGAGTGTCGGGAATTTTTTAACGAAAAGATTTCTTTTTTGTCTCGCGACTGACAGTTTGTTTTCTCTTGCCTTCCCCTGCATGCTTGGAACGTGTCTCAGATCCGTGTGGTGAACGCCTTTCGTCAAGGACTGGACACGCGTTATGACCGGAACAACCCAGCTATTCAAGCAGTACTTCAGAAGCAAGCGTCACTTTCCAAGCGCCTCAGTCAAGCTTCTTCAATCGAATATGCTGACAACGTGACGGACGATTTACCCATTCCCGATATGGACCTCGAACGAATCTCTTCGCACTCGCACACGGAAACCGCCGTTTAAGAGGAATATCCCGAGGACATGTTAGAGAAAGAGACGTGTTTCGAACATTTCTTGGGAGGGGAACATGAAAAGCGTAACAACGAGTTTGACTTCTTGTGATGACACACCATTGTTGCTGGTGCTTGCTTATCTTCCTGATATTGTGTGCTAGGTGACGTATATGTTGACCGAACCCTGCCTGAATAAGTTCGGGCGACGAATTCCTTGTGAAATTCTCTAGGTATGTGCTTGACTGAGCGACCCGGCTGTAAGAGGGATTTTTAGAACCTTGTGAGTTTGATTTACTTTTGCGAATGAAGATATTTACTTCGCACGAGTGCTTGACCTGGCGCAGCGAGATGTGAATCCTTGCATTGTCCGATCCACGGATAGCTTTTGGAACAAGAGAAAGGCCCGTTCTTCGACGGAAGAACACAGAGAACTAGTCAGTTACCCTCCCTGTACATCCTTAACGCTTCCTTTTTTAATTTAATGAGAAACATTTTGACGGCCATAGAGTGTGCTTAAAATGACCAGAATTGTCCTCGCCAAGGCATTTCGTTTTTACGATGTTGTGTTGAGTCGGCAAATTTTGTGCCGCATAGCCAACAATGAGAAAATGTATTGAATGCCCAGGGAGAAATACCGCGTTATCGAGCCATAACTTTGACCCATCGAATTGAAAAGGGTCTGTAAAATTTGAATTTTTTCGACTAGTCATTGATCAGCTTCGTACTTCCGCTTTTATGAACTATCTTCGAAGCCATTTACTAGTTGTTCCAAGGCCCGTAATTCAGCCAAGGCGAGGCATTTTTTTTTCAAGGAGAGTTCGTTTGTGCATTCATCTTGGGCTCGCATTTAGGCGGAGATTTCTGTTGAAAGATTTTAGAACCAACCTGAAGTCTTCATATGAAATGTGTTGCTTACTAAAGTATAGTATTCATTGCTGCCCTTCGGATTCCAGTGTATCGGATAGTTGTGAAGTCGTGTTGGAAACCATTCTGCCTGATCCCCGGCGTGTGTCATGTTCGAGTTCTTTAGGTGTTTTTAATTCATAAATATTTCGTAACGAATGGCTGCTTCCATTTTACTGTAAATTGTTCCAATTGGCTAATTGGTCGTTGTTCCTGCGAATTTGATGCGCCAAACCTGTTTCAGACTGTACACCGAACCATGACAGATTTTCTGTGACTGATGTTAACTGTCAAATGCTGGGAGTTTTCAATTGATGATCATCCGGAGTTTTCTTTGATAATTTTCTCGGGTTTTTTTGTTCATCTTTTGGATTGGGTTATCTCTGAGGTTTAGAATCCGTGACAGCTATCGTATTTGATGACTCGTCACTCATTGCGGCTACTAGTTACCTTTTGAGCTTTCGTGTTCTTCTCCTGTGTGCATTTGCTCGAGGAGCGATTTTTCCAGTGGCACGATTTCCCTCTCGCCTGTGCTTGAGAAGCTTATGTACTGGGTGAGAGCTCATTGTGAGCGTCCTCTGGATTGTGAGGCATAGATGGACCGTCACCCCTTTGCGGCCTTACCCCCCTTCTGTCTATTTTATTTTATTTTTGGGAGTCCTTTGACTATTTATGAGAGGCGACGCACAAGATGCGAAATGCTAGTGGTCTTCAAATGTTACGCGCCGGAAAAGGTGTATTTATGAAATTGATCATTTTGATGTTGTGCTCCCTGTTGCTGAAGCCTCCGTGTTTTTTGACGGTTTTCCCTGAAGCAGTGCCCGAAATTGTTAATTTCCCTCGAACATTTAAATCTGAATTGGATTTTCCATGTTTTGGAGGGTGATTTCCGCATTCCGAAACTCTTGAGCCCTTTCTGTACCCAGAAGAAATGCAGACCCTGGATTCGTTTTCATTCATGGAAATTATTTTCTCTTCGTGTGAAGGAGCTTGAGCACGATTCTAGTTGAAAATCTTTCGTTGAACGTTCCTTAGTTTCTCATTTGTCCTCGCTTCTTTTTTTTTATTGTGAGTCTGTTCTCCTTGCTCCGTTTTTTTTTTTTCTGGATGAAAGTGTTTTTTCCGCATATCTTTTTAATGCCCTGGTCTAAGTTTAAAATATTAGTTTCAGGCGTGTCCTAATTTCAAAGCGCTGATTCATTTTTCGTTTCTCCTGAGTACAGGTTTAAGTAAATATCCGTATTAATTGTTTGTCATAAAAGGTCAAAGTCTCTGCCCTTGGAGACACGTGCATTCTGGTTTCCGCCGCATACTCCTCCTCCTTGACAAAAGGTACAGTACTGTATTCAAATCGTGGCTTAATCTTTCGTCCGGAGAAACGTACCACTTGGGACAAATAACATTGCATCCCTGAATTCGATCCTGCCACCAAACGGTATCTGGAGAAGAAAAAACCTCCATGTGCTCAAATGTCTGACTACTTAGTTATTCCGACTTTTTTCATTCAGGACATGCTGTTAAGGCGCTGGGTCGTCCTAAAGTTGTAGTGAAGGAGTCCAAAAAATTCTAGGAAAAGATTTTTTGAAAATTAAATTTCATGTCAATAAAGAAGGTTCGTAACTCATGTAAAATCATCACTCGAAAAACTAGGTGGAAGAATAGTTTATGTTGTGTGTCTGCCGTTAATAGAAGACGAAAATTGTCTATGTCGGGAATGGAGTTTTCTAATATACAATTAAATCTTGTGTGTCTGGAAAATTAGGGGTGAATTCCGAAAGAAACGGTCTTCATTTTTCCTCTAACCCTTTCATTCTTGATGGTAGCAGGAGAATGAGTGGATTTATCAATTTAAATCATTGCTCTTAATTCAATATAAAAAATTTTCCGACTTACCTGACAGAATAAGCTGGATATGGTTAGTAAGAAAACGAGAAAGCAGTTGCTTTTTTGTACTGGCCAGAATTCAAACGGAAACCATGCAACTCGCCACCTGGACAAGGGCAGCATTTTTTCATGGAAAATGAGGGACATGCAATAATTTTGGCTGGAAAATTATTGCCGGAGAAAACGTGGGAATTTCTTAATCCCCGCTTAGTTTCTCTTATTCCCTGTATCCTGCTTCATAACTGTGATTCTATATTTGGCTAACTGGAAAAATTATGGAATAACTACCAGGGAAGAGTGGGGATAGGAGTGAAGCATATATGTTTTCCTGTGCTGTCTGTCAAAATGCAGAGGAAAACCAGCTTGAATAAAGAAGAGGTGTTACAGATAGAATTCCTTTCCCGAAACAGCATTCCATATTATTAAGCATCTGCCGAAATTATAAACAAGTTTTGCAATGTTTTCAAACCAATTTTTGTATGCTGGCTTAATCTATTAATATTATTTAAAGATATTAAAATCCAAAACTCCGGAACGTTGGTACCTGTTGGAAAATTATTTTGGATAGGATCAATTTCGATTTTATTCAATCAGAATTACTGTACTTTATACTGAAATTGGATGTATAAATCCATATATTGTACGTTCAAAGATATTTCTTCCTCTTCATCCCTATAAAATGACAGGTCCATGTCGGGAAAACTCGCATTATCCTCTCCATGTTTTTCATACAAAACGAACTTAAGGATGAGATTTTTACTGTGCAAAACATTTATTATGAGGCGAAGGTGCCCTTTGAAAAAAAGTTTCAAAAAAAGGATTTAAATCAAGTTCAGAGCTGCTGTGCGAGCTCCTCGGAAGGAGCCGAACCTGTTTCCCCATAGAGAAGCGAAGTCCCTAGCCGTACTACGCTGAAACGCCGGTGATGTTTTAAAAGAGGTTAGGTAGATGTCGCTCAAATGCTGCATGAGAATTTACTCTCTATTGGCTGAGGATGATGCAGGTCCTCTATAATGTTCATAAACTGATGATTTATGCCCGTTTTGTTCAACCTGCTGATTGGGTGAAAAATATATTCTTTGCTCTTGGGTCTCGCCCATTTTGATACACTATCAGTAAAATACTTCCTCGGGAACCGCCTCATGGTCGAAATATGTGACCTGAAGAACATGTACTTCCCTCAGTTGCTGTACATTTTTTAGCGTTAGAATAGACACGCATAGCATCGTATTTTGGTGTTACAGTATCATATACTGCTGTATTTGGAAACGGACTGATGGCTGAATCTATGCAACATGAAATGATCTTCTGTTAGTACTGCATTTTATTTGTTTGAAATACAGCGTAATTCATTTTTTGCTCTAGCTTAATTTTGCCATGTGACTGGATGTAAAATGCCCATTACACCAGCAATTTTTTTTAGATAATCTTCGAAACACATTCTTCTCAAAATTTATGCGTCATACTATGAAAGCGAGTCACATATAGCTTTTAATGTGAGTTGTTCGAATTATCGTATCTCTGACTGCAATTAGACTTACTAATTACTATGTTTGGCACAAATTTTACGTTGAACGTCATCATCTTGAAATTCAAATTTCATTGTGTCACGGCCAAGGAACAACAGCACACGACGATCCATCAGAATCAACTGGTTCTATACAGTTCGTACAGTACTGTGTGCTGCGTATTGACGCAAGGACGTCGAAAATTTTTAATCCCTAGCTTTTTTAATTGCATCAATGTCGATCAAAATGACTGTGCTTTGTTGTTTTCAAACGCATCGCAAGGCTGTCGTGTGATTATCATAAACACATCCGCAGCTGTTCAATCAATGGAAGAAGAAAAAGGTCCAATACGCCAGTCACACTAATACACCCAAGGGTGTGCGTAGTTAATAGCACCCAGCTAGTGACATGCGAATGTTTTGAGTTGGCTGTGTAACATTTTTATTGCATCGATGTTCCACCCAGGATAGGAAGTTCGGCAACATAATATCTCGCGAATGTACGTGACGCATAGTCCACTAACTTCCGGAGTAAAATGCTGAATTTACCATGTACTGGGCTTATTTTTTTTACCCTGTCCTATAAATTTTGCATTGTTCGAAACATAATTTTCTTCATGAAGCGCTTCCTTCTGAACCAGATATGATATCCTCTATGCGTACCACCGGTTGAGAAGCCCGTTTCCAGATTTGCATAACTCGACAATCGTTCACAGTATTCATTCCTAAGAATCAATTGCAACTGGCACATTCAGCTCTAACAAGCTGCAGTTGATATGCTAGCTAGACCATCATGAACTCCAGGAAATTCAATAAACTGCAGTATTTCCCTTGTTTGCGGTTACCGAGTAAATATACTGTACCAATAGTGCATGGATACGTGTATCACTGGTTGGAATTGACTTCGGGGGAAAAAATTGCAAACTAATTTGACTTGAAAAAGGAATACTGAGTCAATCAGAGCTGTAGTAAAACGTACAGCGACTCCCATCCTTTACGGAACACTAAACGGCATGTTTTTTTTTTTCTCGAACCTTGTAAGAAAAACCACATTTGCTCGATTGAAGGAAGCGGGGCGAACATCACAAATAATTCAGGACATAGTCTTTGTGCCGCTTTGGAATGATTCTTTTGAAGCAAATCGCTGCTTCAACGGGCGAAAACAGCATATACGCGTGTGTAGGCCGCACCTTCTTCCAGAAATTACCCGAAAAACTCGGGTGCGGCCGATACTCCAGGTTTTTGAGTACGCTATACAAGTAAGGTCTCTCCTATGCGGCCTACACTGTACTCAATGTGATGCCGTATGCATGATATTGACGAATACAGCTCCAAGCGGCCCCATTTCCCGCCAAGAATATAAAACTCAGGATCTCCGAGATACTGTCGATTATTCATGCCCGGCAATTGATCTCATTCGCCGCGTCTTGTACTTTTGTTAATTTATAATTTTATTTTATTTTTGCCATAACCACATTTCCTCCAGCGTATTTTCTACATCATTGAGGCCTATTATAATGTACCCACTCACCTGAAATGTGTGCTCAAAATCCGGGAACGTCCTATACGCGCGTAACTACCAACAGCATATCATGAATACCCCATGGGGTGGTAAGCAGATTGTTTGATGTGATTGTCGTTCAAGTTTTTATTTGTCAACTTTTTCGCTATTTTCCGCCATGGCCAAATTTCCTCTGACGAACTTCCCTAATTGGTGCGGCCTTTAAAACCGTGAGAATAGGTGCTCAAAATCAGGGTGCGGCCTATACACGCGTGAAAACGAGTGCTGCATGGGGCAGTATCCAACTCATCCGATTATGCAATAGGAACACGAGAAAATTTCCAGCGTGAAGTCGTCGCAATTTTCGTAAACTCGAATGCCGGCGCACCTGGAATGTGATTCCGTTTACCGACTCTCGAAGTGGTGGAGACCGCTCGAACGAGGAGTTCGTATGGGAAAGTGCGAATCATTCGGCAACTTTTCCGGCACCCAAGAGACGACCAGCATGGATCCTCCGGGACAGCGTGACTCGGCCCAGGTCGTTTCCGGACCCGGGCTCCGGCGTCTGTCTGCGCCCGGGTCGAGGGGATGGTCTCGCCCACTCCGGTCCCGCGTTCGCCCCGCCCAGCGCTGCCAGGCGCGGCCCAATGGCGCCGCGAAAAGGCGGTTGAATGCCAAAGGCATTGTGTGCGCATCCGATACCGTAAACTCCTGTCGGCATTCGGTATCAATACCTGAAACAATTTCGCCCCGGTTGCATGCAAAGCCGCGGCGGCGTGAAACGCTTTGACATATCCACAGCTCAGGACCCGCTCGTCCTACGAAGCCCCGTCACCTTGTTTCCTGATCGCGTGCACCGTGCCGCCAATCGCTACTGCACTGTCGCCGGGTCGACATCGGATGCCGATGCAAGCGCAAGGCTATTGTGCACTCCAGTGTGCCGAGAGTGTCGGAACAATAACGCAGTCGCCGGACGAGTGAACGGATTCGTGTCGGTGTTGTTGTTTCCCGCTTCCGTTTTCCGCCTTAATGGACGTGGCGAAAGCGAGCGGCAGTGTCGGAG